TTAACGCTGGTGATCTTTATTTGTTATTAATTGTACTTTGCTCCCATAGAATCTCCTACAAAAAATGATATATACACAGTGATGATTGACGATAAACTTTCTGAACATTTTGTCGCGAATCATCTTTGGGAGTTGGCTGAATAAAAATCACAAATATTTCATTCAAAGAAAGAATTTTTCATTCAGTGAGCCCGAACAATTTAATCCTTGCATTATCGTGAATGATCGTAAAATAAATAAATGTGCTACTTTTATATTTATTTTTGTAATTCAGAATATTCGTTTTTCCTATAATTATACAACGGTAATTGGAAAAACCATCTTTCAAGAAAATATCTACTTTTCCCCTTCTTTAACTTGCTCTTATTGATTTTCTTGTTCTGCTTAAATTTTTCGATTAGCTTTAAAATAATTGATGAGACCATTTGTGCTGGCATCGTGCGAAGTAACTGGCGCAGCATCATGACTTTGAAGCTCGGGTAAAATATTTTTGGCTAGAACTTTACCAAGCTCAACACCTTATTTATAGGAAAATATATTTAGTATGTGAACTCAGCATAGTGTATTAATACTTTTAATAATTAACATACCCCATTGGTCGAATGAATTGATATCCCAGATGATTCCCTGTACAAAGATCTTGTGTTCGTATAAAGCGATCAAAGCACCCAAGGTAGCTGGCGTCAATTTTTGGAATAGAATACTGTTCGTAGGACGATTACCAAGGAACACTTTATGCGGGATAATCAATTCTTTGTTAGTCACATCGCCCAATTCCGCAATAACTTTTTCGCTCGATTTCCCAATCATAAGAGCTTCAGTCTGGGCGAAAAAATTTGATAAAAGTATTTCGTGGTGTTTCCCATTCGCAATAGGATTATGTGTTTCGATTGGGGCCAAAAAGTCCGCTGGTACAATTTTTGTGCCCTGATGAAGTAATTGGTAAAAGGCGTGTTGTCCATTGGTGCCAGGTTCACCCCAAATAATTGGTCCTGTTTGATAAGTGACTGTTTGACCAGAGCGCGTTATGTATTTGCCATTCGATTCCATGTCACCCTAGAACGGAAATTATTAAATGATGTTCGATCAAATACAATCATCAACGATAAAAGAAAGACACAACACCTGTTGAAAATAAGCCGAGAAGCGATGCAAGTATTGATCATAAGGAAGGATAGCATGTGTTTGTGCGCCAAAGAAATTATTATACCAGATACCAAGTACTGCGAGAATCACCGGAAGGTTTTGCTCCAAAGGCGCTGTCTTAAAATGTTGGTCGAGTTCGTGAGCTCCGGAAAGAAGTTGATGAAAATTATCGAACCCAACATAGATTGCAATAGAGAGACCAATCGCGGACCAAAGAGAGTATCGTCCCCCAACCCAATCCCAAAATTGGAACATATTTTTGGGATCAATACCGAATGCTGTCACAGCTGCCGTATTAGTTGATAACGCGATGAAGTGTTTCGCAACATGAGCTTCCTAAAAAAGAAAGAATTGGTCTTCTTTAGTTGTCATATTCGGATGTTCTATTTAAACTTGGTATGTAAAAGATAGAAAAATTACATCTTGTGCAGTCGTCAAAAACCACTCTTTAGCTGAGGTTGCATTAGTGATTGTCTCTTGAGTCGTGAAGGTTTTCGATGCGATAATAAAGATGGTGGTCTCTGGGTGAACTTTTTTCAGCGTCTCGCTCAAATGCGTGCCATCAATATTTGAAACGAAATGCACATTCAAATTTGATTGTGCGTATGGCTTCAACGCCTCGGTAACCATCACTGGACCCAAATCCGATCCACCAATTCCAATATTAACGATGTCAGTAATTCGTTTTCCGGTGTATCCTTTCCAAGTGCCATCACGAATTTCTTGTGATGTTGTTTTCATTTGCTCTAATACTTTATTGACTTCTGGCATCACATCATTGCCGTTGTCATAGATTGGAGTATTTGACACATTACGTAACGCAATATGTAATACCGCACGATTTTCGGTGAAATTGATATGTTCACCGGCAAACATTCTGTCACGAAAACCTGCAACATCAGCTTCGCGTGCTAAGTCAATCAAGGCTACAAATGTATCCTGTGTAATGTGATTTTTAGAAAAGTCAAGAAGAATAGATGCGCCTGTTTTAATTCCTTTGAATTGTCGTGAAAAAGCCTCGAATCGGTCTGGATCAGCGGCAAATAAATCTTTGATGATTAGATTTTTTCCTTCGGCGTCATAGTGCCGTTGGAGGGTTTGCCATGCATTTAGTTCATTAGCAAGGACCATTTCAGCGCGTTAGAAAATGATTTGGATGTTTTGGATAAAATAGAAAAACGAGAACGTTTGCAAAAAAATAGAATATCTGCAAACAAGACCTTGCCCGAAAGCTCGTTGGTAAATTTAAATCCATCAATTGATTAACCTTAAAAATAAACTTTTAAAGAAATTTTGCTACGTGGGAAAATCTCTAAACCTTATTTTTACCATCTCTTTGATTATGCACGTGGATCGCCATTTACATCTTTTCGGGCTATTTAATCCCGAATTTATAATCACAATGCTCATGCAGAAAATTTTTTATAAAGATATTACTAGATTTAAAAGTGTTTATCGTTATCATTATCGTTATTTAAAGAATCAATTATGGATAAAATCGTTTTTCTCCAACTCCTGCAGTCAAAACTTCAACACCATCTTCCTTTACTAATAAAGTATGCTCGAATTGTGCACTTCTTTTTCCGTCTGCGGTGACTGCAGTCCAATTATCTGGCCAGGTTCTATCATTGGATGTGCCTGTAAGAAGAAATATGTATATAATCATGGGATAATTAGCATAGAGATAAAGATAACAAATAAGTCAATTTGATTAATAAACACCTAGATTTATCATTGGTTCTATTGTAAAGACGTGTCCCGGTTTCATTAACCCTATTGCCTTGTTTTCTGAAAGTTAATAATTTTCAATTAGACGAGTATTCAGATGAGACACATAATTGAATCACGAATAAAGTTTACTTGAATAATGTGGAACCGTGGGAGCACAATGGAATAACCTAATAAAAAATTAACTCACTAATTTGATAGAATAAAAACATTAATCTTGAAAGCAACGACAATATTTATTACCTGTGAATCCCATGGCCGCAGTAAGTACGCACAACCGAACAGTTATTACTCTTTGCGGTCTTTTCTATTACATTACCCAGTTCACGATATAAGAAACCAGGCTTAACTGGAATAATGAAGATGGGATATTGGTTGTAATAAATGATAAAGAAAAATGATGAAGCAAAACACAAATATGCATACCACACTCGATAGCTTTAATTAAACACTGCCTAGAAGTGTCGATCAGGCGTTGACTATCATTATCAATTGTTCCAACCGGATAAGTTTCATTAAGATCCCCATGGAATTCATCATGGTATAATGACACATCAATATTTACAATATCACCATCTTGAAGTTCCCGAAGATCAGGTATACCATGGCATATTACTGAGAAAAAACAGAGATTAATAAAGAATGTTGTGGTTTGGCATAACCTCCAGATAAATCTCTCTAAATGCACCCTCTCTTTAAATGCACGGTATGACTCAATCCCAAGCTTATAAGATCTTTAATTGTTTTACTTTTTTAAAATGCACACCCTCCTAAATGCATGTTCATAACCGGTCCCGAGGGGGTGCATTTATCTGTATTAGGGTTGGTAAGGGAAGGGTTCCCCCAATTTTTTTACCTTCATTCACTGATCTGGGATCATGTTGAGGAAAGTCAAGAAAAAAGATGATAATAAATACTAAATTCGAAGTAAAGAGATTCAAATCATAGAAATTAAATTCAACCTACGTGCATACAGACTTAGGAAATTTATAATAATTTAAAGGAGATGGATATGAATTTCTTTCTATGATGGCTTCATGAACAATTCTATCAATTTCATCAGTCGTGACTCCCGGTTTCACCGCCGCGGCGCCAATGTCTAATACTTCTCGTGCAAGCTATATAATAAGAAAGAATATATTATAAGGGTTCGCTTAATGTCATATAAACAATAAGAAACAAAATCAGATAGAAACCTTGCAAACAGTACGCATCTTTTTGATATCTTTCGCGCTCAAAATTACGTTTACATGCTTATCTTTGATTTCCGATATAGGTTGCCCTTTTAATTAGATAAAAGGATTATTATTGTGATATAATTTTAAAAAGAAATATTTCAAGAACATCATGTAATTTTAATCTAACCTTCAGGATCATCAGCATAATCAGGTCTCTTTATGTGTGGAGGGACATGCCGTTTAGGGGATAAAGGATATACGGCACGAAGTGACCCAGTATATGGCCATGTTGGTACATAAGGTGTTTCTACTTGTAAAACCACCAGTAGCGAGTTCAGCGTTGAAAAAATATGGCGTCATCAAAGGATCGTACGCAGGCATTCGATAAATACCATTCTTATCGACTGAGGAGAAAGAGTTCAAGGAAAACTGGTGTACAACCTTGTGGGTAGACTATTACCATATAAAGTATTAATAAGTTATGATGATGGTCTCTTGTTCAAAAAGCAGTGGCAAACATTCTCTTCGAACTGACCCAATTTTTTTTAAAACATTCTTGGGAGCAGAAGAACGACCCAGGGATATTTAATTTCAGACAGGTTGGACACTGTAATTTGGCAGGGTTAGTACAATTTTGACTTTTACAAGACTGTTCGCCGTTCATTGCGAGCTTTCACAAGTACCCTATTGTGCAATTTCGGAACAGAGGTTTCGAATAAATCATGCGTAGATAATTTAATGATATCGTTTTTTATTCAGATCAAATCTATTACATCTATTATGTGGTGTTACATAGCTCGATCGAGCAACTATATCTATCCATTCATGTCTCATTGACAACATCACTATTATTGTTGCCACTATTATTATTATTATTATTATTATTATTATTATTATTATTATTATTATTATTATTATTATTATTATTATTATT